ACATCTTCGCTCATATTCGCGGACACCATCCCTCCGTGCAGATAAAGGGATGTCGCATTAATAACAAGTTATAAGTTAAGGCCGTATGATTTCCGTGAAGCAGAGGGAATCCCAGTGCAGTCGTGAACATGGAATTTACAGTATAACGAGGATGTCACGTAAAACGCGTAATCGGATGGATGGATAAATCTAAAGTAGTTATGATATGTGTCTGTGAATATTAAAGCGGAAAGAGACTGCTATATGAATAATCTGCTTGTTTCTGCATGTCTCTGAGTGGCGCCGTTTTATCTACTGCATACTGAAGTACACTAAGATACATAAACATGAACATCAGCAGAGCTGCTCTGAGAGAAAACGTAAATAAACATTTCTTAGTTTTATTTGAGAAAAACCATTGTCAAATACACTCTAAAACTAGGAGGTCCGCTACAACCCATCAAAATAAACGTTCAATTTATTTGAAATTATGACATAAATATATTAGCATTGTACAATGTACTTCAAAGTTATAATAAAAACAATAATATTCTTTATAATAAAATTATTTATTTAAACATTGTTTTCAAGGAATATCATGTTTGTCCATGTTTTAACTTTGCCAAAAATAAAAGGAGTTGTAAATTTTAATTTAAAAACATTTTAAAATATTAATTAAAATGTTAAAGTGTGATATAGATATACATAAGCATTATATTTTTTATTGTTTTATTAAATTAATTAATTTTTTCAGGAGGGAGACTTCAATACTTTCATTAAAATGGTTTCAAGTTTGTTGTAATAAAGGATTTGTTCACTCAAATAACTTGTTCTTATACTTTTAAGAGTCATTGTTACTGATAAGAATTATTGTTTAATATATACCATGATAACCGCGAAACTTTCTGAGACGATTATCATACCGTTAAAATCTCATACCGTTACAACCCTAGTCGGTACCAATATCAGTAACATTTCCTGGTTCTCAGTACCATAGCAAAAACTACTGGAACTACCTAACTATATTATTTAACTATTCAAAAATTACAAATATTAAATAAATTAAATGAGTTAATTATTAATGCTAATAATAAGTAAATAACACATTAAAACTCAATGTTTTAATGTATTATTCTAATGTTTTTCAATTAAGTAAACATTGCTTTAAAAAAGTCAAGTAAAAACTCATTATATAGAACAAGGGACAAGTCTAATAGTCTTTATTTACACTTCAAGATAATTTTTTCAGATTTTTTTGTCCCATCCGCTGCTATGGTTATCAATGTGACAAGCGTCGCAATTTCGGATTCAATCCCGCATTTAAATATGATTACGGAAATGTGCAGTGTGTACTTAGCAGCAATGAAAAAATAAAACTTTTTTCCAGTTGAGCATGAAAAATAAAATGATGATGTTGGTTATAATGAAAGGATTTGTGAACTTTAAAGCGTGCGCTGAATAAATAATTGAGCAATATTTAGCACATTCTTAACTTAAATATATGTCTGGCCATTGTGTACATGAACTCAACAGACATGGCTGTGATTCGCTACAATGCTCAACGCTTCAAAAACACATTGTAAATAGAAACCTTTGACGCTCACAAATTCGCCAAGCACAGGGGCAACGGTAAGTATAAATATTCATAATTCTGCTGAGCTAAAAACATAGGATAATGTTTGACACGCTTTCACACTTTCATAAAAAACAGAATGGGGCACATCTGGAAACACAAACTTTTTCAATACTCTATTTTCTTTTTTTCCATATATATCCAGATGTGGAAATGACTAAAATCATTAAAAATTTCATACTTTTCCATACTGTGTAGGAACCCTGTAAACAATCAACAATGTAGCTCTTTAAGAAATGAAGAGGCAAGCAAAACATGTCCTTTCTGCAAAAAATTTGACCTGGTCAAGCTTGTTGCTCGCCTATGATTCTCCAGAAAACATTAACTAAACAGCCTCCTCACATTATATACTCTGAATTCAAACAATGAAGAAAGGACAAACAAAAATTCAGAGAACTGTCATCTAAAAACAGACACCCACATCCTATTCACAGAAAAACGCAGAGGACACATATACCATCTCACTCTAATGTGAGCCACAGAAACAACTTTCTCCAGTGCAAAATTCTTACAACACGGTGAAGGGGGAAGAAAAGACAATAAACCTTTGAGCTTTAGCACTTAAGGAGATAATTTGTTCAAAAATGACAATTCTGTCATCATTTACTCGCCCTCATGTTGTTCCAAATTTTCATTCTTCCGTGGAGCGCAAAAAGCAGTGTTTTTTTTTTAAGTATCATTGCACTGCTTATTTGATACAAAAACAGGTCATAATGACTACATCTGTTAATCTTCAAAAATGACAGAAAAAATCCCAAACTAACACCAAAATGATAAATTCAATCCATACCAGTTGAATTGAACTTGAGAATCGAATCAGTCCAATTCATGAATCAATCATTCAACTCATTCATCAAAAAGAACTAACTCAAAAATACATAAATACATTCAAAACAATAATTTAAGTCATCTGGGAATCTAATCAAACAGTTCATTGAAAAGAACTGACTATCTTATCATATAAACTATCATTTAACTTCAGAAGACTTGGAATAAAATTGTACAGGCTACTTATAAAGTGCCTTTTGTTGTTGTTGTTTTTTTCCCCCTTAATGTGGTCACTATAACCTGTTGTTGTATGGAAAGAGCTGGCTAATGATTCATTATTAAAGTCTAATGTTGTGTTCCATGGAAAAAAGTAAGTAATTAATAACAGAAATGTCATTTTTGGGTGAACTGTTGCATTAAATGTAGCTGTTTGCTCTCTAATACAGTGAAGACACTGAAACAGACCGACAGAGAAGTGAACACACACACAGACACATGGTGGAACTGGGACATTGTGCTAAAGAGGCTCCTCACTGGTCCATAGAGAACTCAATGACTCAAGGTCGTCATGTTCTGCCATTTGGAATCAGTTGCATTAACATTTTTGCATCAACAGTTTTTCGTATATATAAACACAAAAGAATTATTGTCTATCGACCAGAGTCGGATGCCTTACAGCTGTAAAAACGAGAGGCCAAAATGAAGGGGCAAACCTGGTTGGAGTTGGCTGATTCAGCAAAAGGAACATTGGTGACTGGGGTCGTAGCCGACGAAACAGTGGAAGTGGCGGCACCGTGCATCATGGGAACTTTTTTCAGGCGAGTCAGACAAGAAACAAGGGAAGGGGGAAGGTGGAGGGGAGGAGGAATGTTATGAGTACCATGACATAATATGCCAGAGGAACAGGCTGAGTCATGGCAACTACGTCTTCATGTACTGCAAAGATGATGTATTCACTTAAGAACAAACATGCAAACAGAACTTTAAAACATTTTGTTGCATTACGTTTTAGCTTAGAGAGTTTTATCCGATCACCATTACATTTAGATAAAACTATTAAGGGTAAAATAAAAACATGGCCGTCATCAAAATCACACACATTTGGAACAGACAGGAACGTCTGACTGTCATATTTTGATGGGGGCCGCAGAATGGATAAATATACAGTAGGGGAAAAGAAGGGGAATGTAAATATGCAGTTCATTCCCATTCAAATATTGCCTTATAATAATATGACACTTTACTCCTTCGGTTTTGAGTTAACCTGATAATGAATGACATAACCATTCTAAAACACCTGTAAATATGAATTAAGAATTTAATCTAATAAAACCAGCTAAAGATTAAGAGATAAAGGTCATATTATAGGGAAAACTGCAAATTAACACAGAATGATATGTACACAGCAAGTGCATCACAGATGTCAAATAATGTCATGAAAATAAAAAACACAGACATGCGCACAGGCACACACTTGCACACTCACTGGTTCAGCACAGATCTAGTGTTTTGATTGGATTGTTACTCAGCTAAATGACTGTTAAGGACAAATTTAACTTGGCTAGCTAAAAAAAAAAAAGATCACTGTTCATCTATGGGCATTGAAATGTGTGTGCAACTGCATTTCTGCTAAACTTAGTTTGGGAATATTAACACTAAAAGTGAGCAGAAACTTGAGGGGTGATTTCTACCTTTCTAAACAGGTAAATGGTGAGTGTGTGTGTGTTTGTGAGGGGAGGGGACCTAGACTCTACCCTCACCAGTATATCCAGGCCCTAACAGGTAACGGCTTTGGGGGGCCCTGCAGCTGGTCCAGTCCCGCCTCTCCCAGCGGCCATCTGTCATTAGGCCTGGGGGTTTGAAAAGGCCTATAATAGATTTTAGGGAGTGAGGGAAAGGAGAGGATGAGGAGGAAAGGGCACAAAGAAAAAGGAACCAGTCTTAATGAGTCTCTCTGAAGGCTTTTGGCCTTGCTTGTTTGTGCCCGCACTGTGCCGTCAGCTGCACACAAAATCACACGCACACATGCATGCACAAACGCATATGACAAGTCGAAATAATGAACAAATGATAAGAAGCGGTGAAAGCAGACAGGTTGGGTGTAAACACAGTGACAGACAGGACAGGTTTGGGATTATAGTTTGAGACCTAATGAGGAAAATGACACGTTAAGCTGTCCTTGTCATTTTCAATACTGAACATTAAAATTGTCTTGTATTGATGTTATAAGGTGTTTCTTTGACTATGAGCACTTTTTTGTCCTTTCTCCTGAGCAGTCATGAGCATTTCCATCACATCCCAAACAATGTGTTTAACAGTATTCTTTGGTAAAAAATGAAGATGACAGAAATGAATTGCTAGACTATATATACCACAAAAAAGAGTCACAAAACAAATACTCTCTTCACAAGTGATATATCTTTTTTGGATTAATAATTAAATTTGATTAATGATTTTATTTAAAAATAATCTGATTAATAATTAAAATGAAAAGAGTTTATGATATTTAAATATTTATGTCATAATCATCATCGTTTTTTTGTCTTTTTATCCTCAAAGTCATGAGCATTTCCATCATATCCCAAATTACATAATGTGTTTAATAGCATTGTTTGGTGGAAATAAAATGTTAAAACATTTTTTAAATAAAGTGGCCAAAGCCTTTGTCTTGCTAAGGTTAATTTTACAGCTGGCATTTAATTGCATAATTAAAAAAAAAAACAGCAGCTAAACTAAAAATGCCACACAATAAAAATATTCTGTTCAAAAGAGATATTTAACTTGATTTAAAAAATTTTATTTAACTTTTTTATTATTTCTTACTTTTATTTATTTAATTAGTAGCTGTAAACAATGCAGTCATAATGTGTTAATGATTCATAATTATTTCCACAATTATTTAGAATTGAAATGGAAATGGTTTATGGTAATATATTTATAAAGGTTTATAATAGTATTTCTTTGTTTAGATTAACCATAATTGTGAAATGTAATAATTCATATTTTTTCATTTTATGATGAAATGTCATGTTTTGGATTGAATGTCTGGGTCTGGGACAAATGTAAAACAATGAAATCTAGACATGTAGAATAGACATGTGAAAAGTAGCAAAAATTAACGGGATGGTAAGTTTGAACAAAAACAAAACAAAACACCAAACCAAAGAAAAACCAACCTAAATAAACGTCATCACACCGAACAGTTAAAATCATCTACTCACTAATCTGCTTTTACAACCAGATTTTGTTAATAATCACGCACATGGTAGCTATTCAACCTTAAGCTTAATGGTAGTGACATTGAAGTCATGTGACTGTGATGCAGTTCTTTTATAGCATATGTTTAGCTTTTCAGTTCTGGTGATTGTATTTACACTTCAAAATTCATAAAAGCTGTGTTCATTTCTAACGATTATCATGACGAACAAGGATCCTATACCATTGTTGGTCACAGAGCTTATTTTCTGCAATATTCCAAAACCAATTGAAAAATCCTATTGAGCTTGTGTCAAGGGAACCAGGGTGATGCTAACTTACAGGTTGACCTACATAAATATGAATATGCCAATCACTACAGCACTCTATAGACTTGGATTAAAAGCCACAGAGCTCCTACTTTGATTTCACCGGGTCTTTAAAACTGGGTGGCAAACGTACTGCAACTATCCTTTTTTAAGGCTGAAGGGTCGCTGCTACAGTCATTTAGGCAAAATACAATCTAGCTTTTTTACTGATTATGTGAGAATAGTAAACATAGTGCAGTGCAGTGCAGCATCAGAAAAAGAGTAGCTAATGCTCAGGTGCAGGTGCATGAGGAGACGCAGGACTGTATGCATCATGGGACTAATTAGCATGACATGTGCATAGGATGGACACCTATGAGATAAAGAGAGCAAGTGGGCCTACAGGGAGAGAGATGGCAAGCAGAAAAGTGCTCAAGTCCTTGCCTAGCCAGGCACTTTGTCTTTAAAGTGCTGTATGTATGCAAGCCAAACTATTACAGGAATATGGTGATATTAGAGCGCAGCTCGGGGGAATCATCTGTCTGCGTGAGCTCACCTGTGGGAATGAACGCTGGCTGCTGCAGCTGCATGCTGGCCAAAGCCTGCTGGTAGTGGAACATGCTGGGGTTGAAGACGGCAGCCGCGCCGTTAGTCTTCTCCAGGGTCGGTCTCTTTGGTAGCTGTTGCATGGCTCCTGGTGGAAGAGCCTAAAGTGATCGGGATGACAAAGAAGAAAGAGGGGAAAAAAACAGAAAGATGGTGGGCAGAGGAAGACATAAAAGATAGCCATGATACTGAGCTACAGGAAATTTTGTACTGTGTGTTCCTGTCCATTCATGAAAATAAATCTGACATACTGTGTATTTGTCATGGTAAATGTTGCAAATCATGTTTTATAAATAAAATAATAAAACATTATCAAAACATTGATGGAGATGTATTTGACTACTTCTTTTAGGATGCATCAGAAAAACGTATTATCATATGTGTGTGTGTACATGTTTTTCTGTACTGGTAGGGACTTAAACCTGAATACACACCAACTCATGGGGACTTGTCACTGTGGGGACATAAATTGAAGTCCCCATGGTACAGAAGCTTATAAATCATACAGAATTCGTTTTTTTGAGATTATAAAAACGCAGAAAGTTTTCTGTTAGGGTTAGGTTTAGGTGTAGGGTTGGTGTAGGGCGATAGAAAAAACATTTGATATGTCATCTATGTTGTATTCTGAATAAAATATTGAAATTTGAAATTTTCACATCATTGCATTCGGTTTTTATTCACAATTTGTACAGTGTCCCAACTTTTTTGGAATCGGGTTTGTACAATTTGTACAGTATAAAAACCATTATGCCTATGGGGATAGTGAATAGGATAGTGAACCAGACGTGTGTGTGTCTGTGTGAAGTTCAAACTTTTAAACAGTACCGAGTGTACATACTACCAAACAGTGTTGGGAGTAACGCATTACAACTACTGTAACGTAGTTGTTACGTAACCAGATTACTTTTTTCAAGTAACTAGTAAAGTAGCACATTACTTTTAAATTTACAAGGAAATATCTAAATTACTTTTTCAAATAAGTTACTTTGTTTTACAATTTATTTACTGACACCTCTCCTGCAGTGAAATTATGAGTGAGGTGCAAAGGCACTTCCTTCAGCGTGAGGCTTATTAATTTCACGTTTGGTGTAAAAGGGTCTTTACAGTTGCCAAAAATATAACTTTTGGGTATTTTGTTATTAAGAAACAAGTAAGTAAGCTCAGCCCAGGTGACAAAAAGTAACGCAAAAGTAATGTAATGCATTACTTTCCATAAAGAGTAACTAAGTAACGCAATTAGTTACTTTTTTAAGGAGTAGCGCAATATTGTAATGCATTACTTTTAAAAGGTAACTTTCCCCAACACTGCTGCCAATATATAATCATATATATAGTTATGAGCTTGATAATTATTTTCAAAGAAGGTTGAGAAAATAAATCTGTCTTGTTTATTCTTTTGATCTTTCATTCAAAATATTCATACAAATTGATGCAAAACAATTTAAAGTGGGGGAAAATTTCATTATGAAATAAACGTTTTTCTCCAATCCATTTTGGTCACAATTATTGGCCTCATTTTATTTAATATTTTTTTGCAATATCCATTTGCTGAAATAAGAGCAATATACAGGTGATCACCTGTCTGTGTGCATTGAATTGATTTAATACACGAGTTTCACAATTTGAGATGAATTACTGAAATAAATGAACTTCTTCTTCTTCTTCTTTCAGGTTTAATGGCGGTTGGCAACTCATCTCAAAGGTGCATTACCGCCTGAAATAAATGAACTTTTCCACGACATTCTAATTTATTGAGATGCACCTGTAAGGGTCACGTGTGTGTTTCCGTTTAGTTTCCGTTTGCCCCAATTTGGTCTAATTCCTGTTTCCGTAATTAGTTAATATTCGTTCATTTAGATCACCTGTGTTGTGTTAATCATTTCGTTTGCTCCTTAGGTTTCCTGTCTTCATAAGCCCTCAGTTTCTGTTAATTTCTTTGTCTTGGATTAATGTTATTTTGAATGGTCTTAGTGAGTTGATGCTTATTAAAAACCCCCTTTACTTCTGCTTCAAACGCTTTACTACAACCACGTGACAATAAGAGTCTTCTCCTTTAATGCCTGAGGAATTTGGAGAAAACCTGGCAAGAGATCAGAGACCATTCTTCTATGCAAAAGCTCTCCATATCCTTCAAGGTTCATGTTAGTACACCCTCCTCTTCAGTTCAGTAATTTTCTATAGGTTTCAGATCAGAGGACTGGTGGCCATGGCAGCACGATTATTTTGTGCTCTGTGACCCAGTTGTGCTTAGTTTTGGATCATTGTTCTGATGATGATCTAACCTCAACCTATTATAAGATTTCTAGCAGAGACAGTCAGGATTAGATTCGTTTTTTTTAATGTATTGGTATCTGATAGAATCCACGATTTCAATATCTGAACAAGATGTTCAAGACCTCTGTTAGAAAAGTAGGCACACAACTTTAAAAATCCAGCAGAATATTTAACCGTGGACATTGGGTTCTTTTTTTTTTTTTACCAGTGTGTATCCCCATATCATGTCAAAAAGCTTTTCTTTTTTTTCTTCTTCTTTTGTCGTTTCGTCTGACCATAGAACCTGGTCCTATTTGAAGTTCCAGTCATGTCTGACAGCTGAATATGCTAGAATTTTATTTTATTTTTTTGATGAGAGCAGAGTTTTTTTTTTTCTTGAAATCCTACCAAACAACTTGTGGTGATGTTGGTGCTATTTAATATTTTGAGGTTTTCTGACCCAAAGACTCCACCATTTTCTGCAATTCTCCAGCTGTGATCCCTGGAGAGTCTTTTGGCCACTCAAACTCTCCTCCTCAGCATGCATTAGGATGATATAGACACACGTCCTCTTCCAGGCGGATATGTAACACTTCCTGTTGATTGAAACTTCTTAACTATTGCCATAATGGTGGTAATGGGATTTTTAAATGCTTTAGCTATTTTCCCACAGCCACTTTCTATTTTGTGAAGCTCAAAAATCTTTTGCTGCACATCAGAAAAATTTTCTTTGGTTTTACTCATTTGTGGTGGATGATTAAGGGAATTTGGCCTTTTGTTCCTTATTTATATATATATATATCATTATTATTATTTTTTTAATAAGTCATGGCTGGACAATTTCTTGTTTGTAGTCACCCTGGTGTGCCAAAATAAATATGAATGGGAATATGAAGGGGTGCTAATAATTGTGGCCAACGTTTATTGGAGAAAAACGGTCCACATTGACCACAACTGTATATTTCTATTCTATATAGTTTCCACAAAAATATTAAATAGTAACTGTTTTAAACATTGATAAATGTTTCTTGAGCAGCAAATCAGCATCTTAGAATGATTTCTGAGGGATCATGTGACTGATGCAATGTCTGCTGAAAATTCAGGAATAAGTCACATTTTAAAATATATGCAAATAGAAAACGGCTATATAAAGTGTAACGATATTTCATTTTCTCTTAGGAATGTAATGTGTGTGTGTGTATACATATTTTTAGAAATGTAATGTGACTAGGATTATTTCACAGTATTTAAAGTTTAATTACACAGATTTCCTCAGCTAGTTTGTGACAGCTAGTGCTGATCTCTTGTATACTCATCAACTCCTATTCTATCAAAATAAAATAAACCGTCCAAACTGAATCTTGTTGACCATAGTTTCAACGCAAAGTGAATATATATATATATGTATGCTGTGCTTCTCTGGCAAATATTTGGGTCTGCTTCTCCATTTTTCTAAAAGCGGCGTCAGACACATGCAGCGTTGCATGAGGAAGAGCGATATCAGAAAGAGAAATTGAGGTGAGGCGTCCTTATCTGCCTCTGATAATTAAACACAGAATGCTCAGTCTAGATGAAGGCATAAAAAGGAGGCTGTACGGCTGTCTTCCACTGTGTAATTCTGTCTGAAGAATGATATGCAACATGATAAGAGCAAGGTCAGCAGGAAAGAGGATATCTGTGATTCACTAACCGAGGGATGATGGGGGAGCAGTCCGACCTCATGATTTACATGAGTGAACTCAATCCCAAAACCCAATAATAATGTGCTGTACTGTAGAGACATCAACAGTCGGTTCCTGAAGTAAAAATCTCAATCCAGATCTGATATTAAACAATGCATAAACCTTTTAAGAAAGACCACATATGAGCTCTAAGGTTATTAAGAGGTTGACGTATGGTTCTGTAGATTGCATAAGCCAGTGATTTAAACTTCACTGAAAACAATTGCTTAGCTGCCAAATTAATTACAGATGAGGTATGGCACTACCCACAATTCTGTAGTGAGATTCACCAATCTGAAGGTTGTTTCCATGGCAATGAGAACTGCAAACTCCACAACATCATTTTTTTTGTATCTATATTATTGTTACGTAGCCTACCTAGCCTTACCTTGTTAGTTATTAATAGATGTTGTAGTGTAAGAGCGGAAAACATGTTTTCTAGTTAGAAAATGCATAAAAAAGTTCATCAATCACTCACCCTCATGTCATTCCAAACCTAAATGGCTTTCTTTCTTCTGTGGAGCATTTCTTGAGAAATGTCCCAAGTGTTTTTTGTCCATGCAATGAAAGTCAATGGTCACCAACATTCTGTTCCACAGAAGAAATAAAGGTTTGGAATGACATGAGGCTGAGTAAATGATGACAGATTTTTCATTTTCAAAGAAAACATCCTTTCCCAGTAAATAATGGGATGAGTATTAATTAATCCCTCATTAAAAACAAGACTGGATATGACATTTCTGGCCAATACTTATGAGCTGAAAACTATTTTCATGTAATGGCATATTTAACCTCTAAAACGCTGATATAATTTTTTTTCTAAATAAATAAAAAAAGAAATATTAATAACTAAAATCAATCATTTGAAATGCTACAATTTGAATTTGCATCACATTATAAACTACAGTATTAAAATTAGTATTTATTTTGAAATTTGCTAAAGATTACATTTAACAGTGTTAATTTTAAGTGTTAGATGAAGGCAAAGGTCATCTAAATGTAAAAATAGAAGAAATGAGCATGAACAATTAAATATCCAATATTAACTAATACATAAAGAACTATTATTGGATGATAGCCAATATGGTACTCATATAAATGTATTTTGCATCCTTATTAAAGATTTTAAATTCATTCTTGCGTCTGTCTTTTTTCCGATTTTCAAAATGTAATCAAATGATAGCGATTCCTCTCTGAGCTAGTTGGTTTGGTTCAAAGTTTCTTAAGTTCCTGTGGAGAAAATACTTCTAGAACCCAGACTACAAATTTATTCAAGTGTCATTTCACTTCTAAGACGGTGATTAGTTTACACAGAAATTGTGGCTGGTTTCTTGCAGCACTAACACTTTCACCCAAAACATAAACTATATGCAAATGAGCTATTAGAAATGAACAAATCAGCAAACAATATTAAAAAAGACACAGAAATGGGTGTAAGATGAATGTACCAGATTGAAAGTTGGTTGCAGGCTGCGCTTCAGAGGACGCACTGAGGGCTGGGTAAGCGAGCAGTGACCACATGACGATGGCAAACCAATCAACGACAGTAGACATAAACACGAGACAAGAGAATGAGCCGTGAAGGAACAGATGCAGCTGAGGTTAGAGAGAAAGCTGGGTAATAAGCTTGTAGGACAACAAAGAGAGCTGTGAGGATGTAAAGACAATCAAGCAGTGTTCAAAAAGAATAACAGCATGAACCGAGAGGGAGTCAAATAAAGCCAACATATGATAAAGCCTCAGGCAGACCAGGTGACTGCAGGAAGCAGAGGAGGATTTTTGGATAACGTCCCCACATCTGTGCACTGTAAATAAACCTTTGTAGAAATGTTACATGATAAGACTTGGGAGACTAGGATAAAAATGACACATTATTAAAGAGAAATTGTCTGCAGTAGACTCTCGGGTGAGAGGCTGCTAACTAGTGGAGGTTTCTGTTGGAATGAATTGCTTGTGTTTTCCTTTCTTATCGTTTATCTCTCCTGCACCTGCACTGCAGACACCCTTTGCAACCGATCACTGAGCCCAGGTCTTCATGCATCACACAGGAGACAAAGAGCTCGCCTGCAGACACACACACACACACACACACCCTCCTGCGGGGGATCTGAATTATTTAATAAACTCCTGAACCTCACATTGAAGGTGTGTGGAAAGTGAGTTATAAATACACACACCTTCATCTGACACTAGTAAAGCTTATTGAAAATGGCATCCTGGCAAAAACTAAGGCTGCTGGTCACTTAACTCTAGATTACTCCAGTGGCACTGTTCCTGTAATATGTGTAGTGAAAGCTGCCTTGGATAAAACCAGATGCTAAAATGGCCCAGTGTGACATGAGATGTGATAAATTACATATTACAAAAAAATTTAACTATACTTCATTTTCCACCAAAATGGTGCAATGACGTAACTTACTACATAACACATAGTGCATTGTGGTCTTTGTTTGTGAGACGTATGAGTTTGAAAACAAATTTTATCATCACAAGTAATTGAATTCAGTGTTTATGATTATAAGCTGCATAAGCTGATGCAACAGTGAGAAGTTAAAATGAAATAAATTAAAATCAAACTAATACAATCCAAAGCTATCTAATGATGCATACACTACAGTTCAAAATTTGGGGGTCAGTACGTTCTTTTTTTCATACTTTTATTAAGCATTCATGCCTTAAATTGATCATAAATGAGAGTAAAGACATTTATAATGTTAACAAAGATTTCTATTTCAAATAGATGCTTTTGAACTCTAGCTATTTATCAAAGAATTCAGAAAAAATGTGTCATGGTTTTCACTAAAATATCAAGCAGCACAACAATGTTTTCAGCAATGTTGATAAAAAATGTTTCTTGAGTGAATCAGAATATTAGACTGGGATCATGTGACACTGAAGACTGGAGTAATGATGCTGAAAATGCATTACCATCACTACATTTCAAAATATATTCACATTATTGTCAATTGTAATAACATTTCCATAATATTACTGTTTTTCTATAAACGCAGTCTAGGTGAGCGGCAGAGACTCTCAAAAACACAAAAAAACCCTTACCGACCCCAAACCTTTGAATGGTGTGATGAAATATCATTGAATAACGAATGGTTATCATGAATGTTATTAATAATGAATGTTATTAATAATGAATAAATTATTGACTCACTCGTTATTCATTTTAACATTCATTCCTTATATTAAAACAAAGTGGTTTGAGTTTACGAGTTTTACATGTTTTGATTCAGTTTGATTTATGCCACAAAAAGCTGCTTTTAATAAATGGTCAGAAGTTATTTAAATGTGTAACAAATTCAGTTATTAGCAATGACTTTTATATATGATATTTGTAAATAACAGAATTTTATTTTATATGGATGAATACATTTTTTTTTTCCCACAAATTATGTAGCTTAATTTTTCATATGACAACTAGTCCATGGTGTTGCCATATAGTCTTTACAGAAGGCATTTTTCCACAGAGCATTATCTTTTGTACTGTGATGTGTGATTGTCATAATTATGGGAATTAGTGCTTGTGATGTCATTGTAATGGGATCGTCTCAGTAACTCACCATGGCAGCAGCATTCTGGCTGGCTTGGTGCTGCGCCGCCTTTATTCGGGCCTGTAAGTGAGCCGGAGGGTGAAAGTACTTGCATTTGTCACGGGTGCATCGGCCCTTAATGTAATCCATGCAAACAATGACGGAGTTCTCGCTGCCGTCCACCATGGCGGCTTCCATTGGGTGGGCATAGCGGCAGTCGTTCTCCCCACGTGTGCAGTTTCCCCGCTGGAATTCTCGACACACCTGGGAGCAGGACAACAGAGATTTACTATCATCCATTAGTCACATTAAAAAGCACGCTTTGTGACAGACATTTCAATTCTTATCATGACACAATAGCGTTATAAACTAGATTTTTACATTTGATAAAAGATGTATGGCCTTTGCCCAATTCTATGTTGTCACTGGTTGCCAGGATGCTTCTATTAGGGTTAAAGATTCTTTTAGCATGTTACTTTGTAGTTGCTATGGTGTTTTGGCTGGTTGTTAGGTGTTTACTCAGTAGCCCAGGTCAAAATACGCCCAGCCCCAAGTCTGTATCACATTCTAGCCTGTATTTTTGACTCACTTAATGCGAGTCTATAGGATTTTTGGTAACACTTTACAATAACAGTACATAAATAATCATGTACTAATACCTAAATTAAATATCAAGAATTAATTGTAACTACGACATGAGTCATTGGAATTCATGTGTGAACAATGACCGCATATTTGTTAATATATTAACTTAACACTTTGGGCACATGAATTCATATGACTCATAGTTAAGAATAGTTCTTGATTAGTAGTACATGCCTTAACTCATCAATAGTTTATATTAAAGTAATATTTAATAGAGGTATATATTTAGGTATACTTTAGTACATGATTACTCATGTACGGCTATTGTGTTACAGGATTGGTTCACCATTTACGTTTGTTTTATCGCCAAACATGGGCTAAATATGGTCTGAAGTCTAATGACTAAAAGCTGGAATACACTTCAAAACTTTCACACAGATTTTTGCCCTGATTGGCAGTCTGGAAGAGTCAGCGATAGATGCCAAAAGTCAGAGCCACACTGCAGATTTCGGGCAGTCGAACGACAGATTTAAATTCCATTTAAGATCCATTTACATTCTTCAGCATCTCTTATATCGCATCGCTGCTCACAAATCAAACTCCCTCCTCCAACCCAACTCCACCTAACTGAACCTGTAATCTAATCTGAATTTTTTTTTTCGTACAACAGTTCACTATATTGCAAGCATTCTGTATCATGTATTTTCTACAACTCATGTAAATTGTGATTTGTAATTATGATCTGTTCTGTACCCCAGGGGGGTTTGACTTGCTGCTCTCCCCGCTCTGTCCAAGCATGGCTGCATGGACAGGCATGGTGAGTTTTGCCCAGAACAGAACCATATATAATTGTAATAAATTTACTTTGACGAAGTAGTCCTGACTGAAACACTAACAAAGTCAGCAAGTATGTGATGCCTAGTGTTTTAAAAAATCTGTTCTGATTCTAAAAGTCACGTAGTGTATTCCAACCTTTAGAAAAGTGACAGCACACATTTTGACATGTTTTTAAAGTTTGTAACACAAATGGTTTAGAACGAGTTGCATGCCGAATACATATTTAGCAACCGAAATATAGTGATATTACAAGAGACAAAGCAAGTTGTTTTGACACCTCAAGCTTGTCTGTGCGAACATGTTTCTGCGTTGAATTTCCGTTGCCCATGGCGATGCCGGTGGGGCTCCCCGGGACCAGCACGGGGGCACTGGGCAGAAGTTCGGGCATGAGACTGATGCCCGGGCTCATGTGGCTCAGGTATGGGCTGAAAGCCATGCTCGGACTGTTGGCCAAGGAAGGCGTTACTGGGAACGATGTCTGGATGAGAGACACAAAGACAACAAGGGATAATAAAGCAATGCTTTCAAGCCAAGAGAAACGGTCGTGACGTTATTGGTTATTAAATTTGGATCTCACTATGGGCTGCAGCTGAGCTCCAGGCAGCATGAACTGCATCTGCTGGGCCAGCATGGCGGCTGCGGTCTTCTGCTGGATCAGGTTGTTCCTGCCGTTTATCTCCAGCTGGGTCTTGAGATGAGGCGGAGGATGCAGGTACTTACAGTTATCACGTGTACAGCGTCCCTTAGAGGGGTTGTAGAGGGAGACACAGAGAGAGAGAGAGAGAGAGAGAGAGAGAGAGAGAGAGAGAGAGAGACAGAGAGATGAATTGCACTGAATCTCAGCTAATAAAAGATCCAAGACTGCGTGGCAGGAAGATAAGGGCTCTGTGATTGAGAGGATAAATGAAACAAGAATCCCTAGACATTCAAGCGTAATGATTCCAACTTTCAAAACCCCATCAAATGAAAAGAAAACAGCATAATCTCAGGAGTGCTGGAAGGTCTGAACTTCAAACGATCGGAGGAAATGGTAAAACGACAGCACTAGGACACGGGAGGAAAAGTTTTCACTACTTCTAACTGAATTGACAGTGACAGCCTTCTCTTTCTGTCTGTCTGTTCGCATCAACAATCTGCCCGTCTGTGCGGCTGACAGATTATAGAGCCCTTGTGGCTATTGTACATGCTCATACTACATATGGGTCGGACATATAGCATTGTTTATCACACAGCTGTCCGAGCAACATGTTGAACGGTGAGCAGCAGACACGGTTATATACACACACCAAACGTTCATGAGCAGGGTCGATTAGCTGCGAGACAAACTCAGTGAACCCATGGAGCAACGCCATTTGTTCTGCAATGCGTAAGGTACTGTAATAACCCAGAAGGGAAAGATGTCATTCCATCAGTTCAAAAGTCTGTTGATAAACTGTCACTATTTCCATTAATACACATTTATTTTGTTCCTTTAGACAATTGTATACCTTTTTCAGGTCAAGGAGCTCTTGGGGGATAGAGGGATGGAGCAGGAACCCCTGTTATGTACGGTACAAAATTGAGAATTGCATGTTAAACCTAGCCTGTAATATGTAGGCATTGGTCACAATGGTTGACTAATCGACTAGCTGTTAAACTTAAAACTTAAATCATCTAGATTGTTTTTAAATAAATAGTTTAAGGAGAGGGGTTAAGAAAAGTAAAAGTCACTGTTGACATCAGCTGAAAAAAATGGTGTTTGAGAGTTGGAGCGAGATCCATTTTGATGGAAAATAAACACAAATGTTTTTGACAGATTAATCAAGCACATTCTTTCTTAAAAGGACAGTTCGTGCAAAAATACAATTTCTGTCATTTATTCACTATTGTTTTTCTTTATGATTTTCTTTCTTCTGTAAAACACAAAAGACATGATAAAGCAGAATGTCTGCCTCTCTTACACACAATGAAAATGAATGGTGACCAAGGTAATGAAGCAAGATTTAGATTCAGGTCCAACTTCTAACAGTTTATTCTAAAATACTCTTTTTTTTCTCATGTCATCACAGCTTTAATGGGTTGTTGGGCTCACAAACCGAACTGAGCTGCTTATCGAGGAATGCATGGTTCCAACAGGATGGAATCTGAATGGAATCCCAACGCATTCCAAACGGAATTTGCAGAAACAGTAAATCCCAATGGTATCTGTGCTATGCTAACAGTTCAGATGGAATGTCAAAGTGTCACTCCATATGAATGAGATGTGTAACTGTCCACCAGCTACAGCAATTTAAACACTTGCCTGTGTCTTCAGCAGCCTCGGGGCAGCTTTTAACAGTGATGAAGCCTAAACAAAATTTTAAGTGCGTGAGTGTGGGGGTGTCTCTTTGCTGGCCAGTGTGATGTGGTGCACTTAATGGAGATGAAAGTGGGTGTCTGTAGTGTCAGCGTGCAGGGACAGCGTGATCAGTGTGCTGTCGAGGACTTGGGAGATGGTTCACCATGCTGCATCATTCAATGCAACTCCCACACATGCAGCTCCATATGACACCTAGTCACACGTAGCCAGACCTTTGACTAAACGGCATAAATTGTGGTCCACACTGCAGCCCGTTCTGGCCAAGAACTGCCAAATAAACCGGGCTCAACAGAGTTGGAGTGTTTCTCTATAATAAAGATTACATTCACTACAAAAACTGTGATAATGTGTTAAAGTACAACATGACAGCAAGCAATGTTCATCTGTTGGTCTCCCAGCATCATCCCATCTGAGAATCATGCTAGTGCTCACTGGAAGAGTATGCAGCTGAAAATCTCACCTGAAATCTCACTGTGAACAAGTTTTTGCACTGGATTCACACTGTTTGGTATCATTTAACTTCAATTCAAAGTCTAATGTAATGTCTAAATATTTCAATATTGTATATACACAAACATTGTTATTAAATGTATTAAATAATTATTTAATCAAACTAAATTCATACTAAACTCAGTTTAAATGTATTAAAATATTGTGGATTGAAATAAATTTGTAATTATACACCACCGCTCAAACGTTTAGGGTCAATAATTTTTTGTTATGTTTTTGAATATCTCTTATGCTCACCAAGACAGTGTTTACTTAAAATACAGTAAACTCAGTAATATTGTGAAATATTATCAACATTTATAGAACAGTTTTCTACTAATATATTTTTAAATGTTTATTCCTATGATTCCTATGATTACTCCAGTCTTCAGTGTCACATGATCCTTCAGAAGTCATTCTAATATGCTGGTTTGATAATATTAAAAATGTTTCTTGAGCACCAATGTTGAAAACAGTTGTGATGCTTAATATTTTTATGGAAACAGAACAGTTTTTATTTGAAATAGAAATCTTTTGTAACAAAAAATGTCTTCACTCTAACTTTTGAAATCTTTGCTCTCACTTTTGATCAATATAATGAATCCTTGCTGAATAAAAGTATACTTTTATTCTTAAATCTTACTGACCCTTAATTTTTTAATATTTTTTGGTAGTGTAATTACAATAATGATGTAACTTTACTAAACTATCAATAGAAACATGTAAATGTCTTTAAATTACATAATGTATTAAAATAATATATTTAAAAAATATTGCAATTATCAATTTTTTACTACATGCATTTGGCTGTATTAATGTTAGTGATTAATTATTTACTTGATTGCAGATTTGAAATGACATGAAAATTTACATTCCTACGACAAACTTACTGCTCAATGAACATTTAAACAGAAAACACACACACACACAAGAAAAAGAGGAAAATGTGTATAAATGCTGTGATCATTATTTGTGATGCAAACATAACTCAGAAACGTTTCTTTTAATCAGACTGGAGCTTGTCAGATCAAGAAAGTACTTCTGTGGGCAATATGCATCAGTAGTGGTTAATGGGACGGTCGGTGGGTGTTCCGTCTGAGGCTGATGCGATACATAACAACACATCGCTCGCTACAACACAGGCAAGACACTCGCATACAGAGATGTCACAGATATGTGCAACATTTGTTAATTGTATGGCCTGATACTTGTACGACGCTTTCACACACTGACATTGAGAGCTATTTCATCAGCGGCATGTGTTGTGGGAGTGTGTGGGTAATGAGCAAACCGTCTCAAAGGAGCAGACAGGTGATCCTGCCAAAGCACACAAGAGAAACAGCCTCACAGCCAAGCTTTAACATTCTGGAAGACAGTGAGAACACACCGCTCATTTCAATAGTACACAATGATACAGAAAACATGGGTCGCCACCACAGAGAGATGCGGAAATTATGCTGAGGGCTCTGACAGAGTCCCCACGAGCTGAGAAACGTGAAAGATGAAAAGCTGTAAGTCATGTCATGTAGGATGGACTAGGTCAGGGATCTGCTTTGCGTAGTCATGGTAACACACCCGGCAACCGAGAGTAAGTTTTGCCTCATACTGTCTCCTCACTACTGATTGGCCAGAGAGGAAAAAAGGGAGAGGGAGGAAGAAAACGAGAGAATGCACAAATGAAGAAAGCAGACTGCATATCTGGTTAAACCAAAATATTCTTCAATTAAAATCTAAGCGCTGAACCTTTTTATGGTGAATTTTCCTGTACAAAAAGCAAATTCCTAAACAGACTGTATTCCCCAGAATTCTATTTGTGCTCCTCGAAGTCAACTAACAATCTTAGCCAATATTTCTAGTGCCCAAAATTTTGTTTTTCATTAATTTTTTTTAAAGTTGTTTAAAGGAGCACTCAGAGTCAGTACTATTTTGTTTACGTTGTGATGGACACTATGGTGGTTGTCTAGGGCACTGTTTCCCAACCGGGGTCACCGCTCAGGTTTCACTTTCACGTGGTGTGACGCTATCCCGCTCTATGCGTGTGCGCTCCACTCAGTCGCTCCACTCGTATACCGCTCATGCGAATCGGATCAGCAAAGTCCACTAAAAAATCAAGCCGACAGGAAACATCGATGTAGTACAGTATTGTTTCTGTCTGCAATAGCCCTACTGTGTTGTAACATGGTGTGGTATATGGGTAACTCTGGTAATGCTGCCCTCTCATTCATTGAAAGCCTACATTAAAATCTGTCATATAAATTGGTCTCTTCATTAGAAATTAGCCTACTGATTGCCACCATTGATGGACACATTTTTTTAAATAATATTAAAAATATCTGTATGACATATTCTGCAGTTCTTCTCAGTTGTACCGAATATCTATACTTTTCAAATGATCTCATCGAAGTTAGAAATTCAAATATTGTGACAAAATTAATTTTGTAGGGTGCCACAAGTTTGTTAAAATTTCCAAAGGGTGTCGCGACTAAAAAAAGGTTGGGAAACACTGGTCTGGGGATAATAATAGCTTTCTAGGACTAAACATTATTTGAATAATTGGTAAAAAAAGAAAGAAAAGTTAAATATCTTAACCCTACTGTTAGACTTACCTGAAAAACTAAAAAGCTATTTATTTAATTCGAAGGCCTAAATAAAAATCGTTATTTTTTATTTGTGCTATCATTAATTTATTTATTTGTTCTTATTTTATTACTGACTGCTTACTTGTCATTTTTTATTCAATTCAAAGTTTGAAATCAAGCTATCTCGTGCTACTGCACCAAAATTACCCAACTGTAAAGATTTGTGAGTTAGCTAGTTATAATGGTAATTAAATCCTTTTTATATATGTATAAAAGCCTACATTAAAATCTGTCATATAAATTGGTCTCTTCATTAGAAATTAGCCTACTGAATCGTTATTTTTTATTTGTGCTATCATTAATTTATTTATTTGTTCTTATTTTATTACTGACTGCTTACTTGTCATTTTTTATTCAATTCAAAGTTTGAAATTAAGCTATCTCGTGCTACTGCACCAAAATTACCCAACTGTAAAGATTTGTGAGATAGCTAGTTATAATGGTAATTAAATCATGGCGACCCACTCCATGTATAATAATACTTGTTTTTATTAGACTATCAACGCAAGTGGAGCTTGTCTCATGTAAATGTACATCATTTAAACATTTTTCAAAACTACTATTAATTTATAAAATAATGTATCACAGGGATGCTGGCGCCTATCCGACCATTTAAAATTTTGATGTTAATGTATTTGTGATGTTAATGCGAGTGGACATACTCTACTGTTCAAAAGTTTGGGGTCAGTAAGATTAAAAAAAAAAAATTGGTCAAGTGATTACAACATGGCGGCCCCCATATGGCGACCCACTCCATGTATAATAATACTTGTTTTTATTAGACTATGAACGCAAGTGGAGCTTGTCTCATGTAAATGTACATCATTTAAACATTTTTCAAAACTACTATTAATTTATAAAATAATGTATCACAGGGATGCTGGCGCCTATCCGACCATTTAAAATTTTTGATGTTAATGTATTTGTGATGTTAATGCGAGTGGACATACTCAACTGTTCAAAAGTTTGGGGTCAGTAAGATTAAAAAAAAAAAATAATAATAATAACAATACCTTTATTCAGCAAGGGTGCATTAAATTGATCAAAAGTGACAGTACAGACATTTATAATG